GGCGCGGTGCGCAGGCCGCGGCCTAGGCCGCAGTAGGCCGCGCTTAGGCCTCGGGCTGGCGTGAGGGCGCGGCCGGCGGCAGGCGGCGCAGGGCGGGACGGCGGCGCTACGCAAGGCCGCGGCTTCGCGGTTGGGGTGGAAGAGGGCGGCGGATGGCGCGCGGGGAGCGAGTAAAAGGAAAGCGGGGGGTGATGGGGGTGGGGGGCGGAGGTCGGGCCTACCTGGAGCGGCGCCGGTAACGGCGGCGGCGGGATGAGGGCGCTCCGGGCGGAGCGGGAGGAGGGAGGGCGGGGAGGAGGGGAGGGAGGTGGGGGGGGAGAGGGAGCGCGCCGGGGCGGGCGGGATGGCGGCGACGGGAGGAGGCGGCGGCTGCTCCTGCTGCGGCGGCCGCGGCGGGTCTGGGCGGGGGCGGCGGGAGCGGCCGATTTACAACCGCCCCGACCCGGAAACGGACGGCGCGCACCAGCGAGGCGCGGCGGGGCGGGGACAGAGCGGCAGCGCTCCGCCCCCTCCTCCCTCGTTCCGCCCTCCGGCCTCAGCGCGCGCCACAGAGAGGAGGGCGGGCAGAGCGCCGCCGTCTGCACGCAGCGCCCCTGGCGGCCGGGAGGACTGAGGGATGGCAGTGGGCGATGAGGGGAAACGGGAGATTGAGGGGGGCGGTGGGGGCTGGGACAAAGGGGGACTGGAAGGGGTGGGGATGGGGAGAGCGATGGGGGCAATGCGGCATTAGGGTTAGGAGTGACCCCTCCCCAGTGGAGTTTGCCCCACACAACGCAAAGGAGGCTCTCACACAGACTGTGGGGGTCTCAGGGTTTTATTTGGAGGCAGCAGCAGCAACCCCAGCAGCTGTGACACCATGGAACCCACCAGACCCACAGCACCCCACAGAACCCAATGGGATCCTACAGAATCCAATGGGACCATCCCATAATATGCTGACACACACTGAAGCCAAAAGACCCCCTCAGCACACACACACGGCCCCATTGGGGTGAAGGAACATGGGGACACCCGGTGCGCACGGGGGTCAGTGGTGGATATGGGGTGGTCACAGGAGGTCCTACATGGATATGGGGTGGTCGGGGTGGTCCCAGGTGGTCCATGTGGTCACGGGTGGTCTTGGGTGGTCCTGAGACTCCAGGAGGTGCTCATGGGTGGTTCCACAGGTGGTCACAGCACGTGGGGGGGCCACAGGAGGACACGGTTGGCCCCCAGGTGGCCCCAGGACATGGGTGGCACCGCCATCAGTCGGAGTCGCTGCTGGAGGAGGAGGAGGAGGAGGAAGAGGAGGAGGACAAAGAGCGCTGCAGGACAACAGGACACAGTGAGCACTGGGGGGGGTGACCTCAAAATGTGTCCCCCCCCAAAACCCTGTGCGTGTCCCCCCATCACCTTGTGCCTCTTTTGAGCCTTCTTCATCCTCTTCTTCATCTTCTTCGCTGCCTTCTTGTCCAGCCCAGGGGGGATGAGAGGGGGCACCCCAGCATATGGGGGCTGCAGGGGGGGGCACCCTGGGGGTCCCGTTGGGCACAGAGGGACCGAGGGGGGCAGGACAGTACCGGGGGGGTACGGAGGGGTGCTAGGGGGGTATGGGGGGGCTATGGG